CTCAAGTGGTAGAGTGCTAGCCTTGAGCTGAAGAGCTGAGGGACAGTGCCCAGGCCCAGAGTTCAGGCCCCACGACCGGACCCAAAAAATAAATAAATTAAAAAAAAAAAGACTCACAGACTTTCCTGCCTGGGCTGGCTTTTAACTACAATCCTCAGAGCTCAGCTTCCTTAGTAGCTAGGATTACAGGAGTGAGCCACCAGCACCCAGCTCTTTTTTTAAAAACAAAAAAAACTTTTCCCCCCTAAAAATAGGGGGGAAATTCAAATGGGAAAGCTTGTTTTCATACAAAAGAGACATTGCCTAGCATTCCTGTAAATGTGATCTGTGAAAAATATTTTAAACTTACCAGGTACAATTATTTTGTCAATGGGAAACATTTTGCCTCTGATTTCTTCTTCTTCTTCCTCATCTTCTTCTAATAAAAAAATATATAAGTAGTTGTGTTTATTAACATAAATACCCAAAAGTTCAAATACTGTATCTGTTGGTTTGTTTTAAGGCAGAGTCTTACTATATAGCCCAGACTGGACTCGAACTTAAGATCTTCTTGTCTCAGTTTCCCCAGAACTGGAATTACAAGTGTGTGGCACCCATGCCTAACTTCAAAGATCACATATTGTCTTACAACCTAAACAGCCATTGACATTTGGCACATATACGCACTGGAATACTATTCAGCCTTGGAAAAGAAAGAAATTATGTCAATGGTAAGTAGCTACCTGTGACTTGGGGTAGAGAAAAAGGAAACTTAACTAATCAAAGGGTGTAAGGTTTTAGTCCAGCAAGATAAGCTCTTGAAATCCATTGAGAAAAACATGATAGGGCTGGGAAGGTGGCTCAGTGGTAGAGTGCTTGCCTTGCATGCATGAGGCCCTGGGTTCAATTCCTCAGTACCACATAAGTAGAAAAAGCTGGAAGTGGTGCTGTGGCTCCAGTGGTAGAGCACTAGCCTTGAGCTGAAGAGCTGAGGGACAGTGCCCAGGCCCAGAGTCCAAGCCCCACGACCGACAAAAACAACAACAAAAACAATAAAAGAAAATAAAAATGTACATGGGCTGGGAAGGTGGCTCAATGGTAGAGTGCTTGCCTTGCATACATGAGGCCCTGTGTTCAATTCCTCAGTGCCATATAAGCAAAAAAGAGTACTAGCCTTGAGCTGAAGAGCTAAGGGACAGTGCCCAGGCCCAGAGTTCAGGCTCCATGACCGCAAAAAAAAACAAAAACAAAAACAAAAAAAAAACAAAGTACAGGCTAAGCCAGGTGCCAGTAAACTCACACCTGTGATCCTAGCCACTCAGGAGGCAGACATCTGAGGATCAAGGTTCTATGCCAGTTTTGACAGAAAAATCCCTGAAACTTTTTTTGTCATTCATGGGGCTTGAACTCAGGGCCTAGGTGCTATCTCTAAGCAATTTCACTCAAGGCTAGTGCTCTAGAGTCTCAGGGACTTTCCTGCCCTGGCTGGCTTTGAACTATGATCCATAGCCTCTTGTGGAGGCACAAGCCACCAGTGCCCAGCCCCTGAAACTTTTTTTTTTCTTTTTCTTTTGTCAGTCATGGGGCTTAAACTCTGGCCTGGGCACTGTCCCTGAGCTCTTCAGCTCTACTACTTGAGCCACAGCGCCAGTTCTGATTTTCTGGTGATTTATTGGAGATAAGACTCACAGACTTTCCTGCTCAGTCTGCCTTTGAACCATGATCCTCAGATCTCAGCCTCCTGAGTAGCTGGGATGACAGGCGTGAGCTACTGGAGCCCAGCTCCCTGAAACCTTTATCTCCAGTTAATCTGGAAATGTAGCTGAGGCTCAAGCAGCAGAGTTCCAACCTTCAGTGAAAAACCTAAGCAAGAGATAAAGGTCTAAACCGGAAAAAAAAAGGGGGGGGGAGATTTATGGACCTAATAAAAGGTAAGCCAAGTCTCTCTAGTCTTTGTTTCTTTGATTGAATGACTATTCAATCAAAGTTATTACTGGGAATAACTTATCTGAGTATAAACATGCAAACACGGAGAACATGCAGACTTACGATTGAAAAGGTCTTTTGCTTGGTCATAAGTCTTTGGAAATGCATCCAAAATGTAACCTTGATTCCTACAAGGCATAGATTTTAGCTTTTCTTTTATGAATCTGATTAAATATTGATCTTCTAGCCGACCTATTGAAAAGAAAACATGTTACATAGGGTCACATTTCCACCAGGTGAGATTCTAAACCGATTTGGGCAGGCAGGTGTTTTAGGAAATGCTTTACCCTTAAAGTTGATAAATGTGTAGTTTTGCACTTTGAATGTGACACTTGAGTTCTAGTTCAGTATAGAGTAGGAGAGCCCCATGAGTTGCTCTACAGAAAGAGCGGAGCAGATGCTGACGCCTGTACCTCAAATGTTCTGTGATCCCACCTTTGGGGTGAAGTTGAATGATGAGTAAGAGGAATGACAGAAAGCTGCTTCTTCGTGGGGTTTATGCAATTCTGCTTTGATATTACACCCTTTAGCCCAACTATAAGGTGTAATAAATGAGTCTCTTCCGAGAATCCAGTGAGGTAGTATTCAGGTGGCTGGCATTTGATTTAGTCAAAGGAGGTGTTTGGGTTGAGGGTGTAGTTCAATGGTACAGTGTTCAATTGTACAGTGGTACAGGGTTCAATTCCCAGCACCAAAGGAGGAACTAAGTAAATATTTGCTAGATGTGAAAAGCAATACAGTTTGACCTGGTCTCAAAGGCATGTTTCCCTGTAAAGCAGTGGTAAGGGCTGGGGGTAGAGTTCAGTGGCAGGGCACTAAGTTTGTGTGTGTGTGTGTGTGTGTGTGTGTGTGTGTGTGTGTGTGTGTGTGTGTGTG